AAATTTACCTTCGTGGGGGACTTTTTGATGGAACTAATCCGTATTTGCGTTATAGGAAGAGAAAAATCACGAAAACCTTCCACGGTTAGACTGATGGCAGGAAGAATCTAACCCCTGATCCGTCTACCACTGAGGATATTTAACGTTAGCACTGTGGTCGGTGCAAGCCGGATGCGGTATTCGAATCGACCAGATACTTGTTGTTTGGGAGTTTTGGAGAAAAATAATTTTTTCGAAAAATATGACGCATATTCCTACTTTGGAAACTATTTTCGAATGAATTCCGTGGAGCAAAATTCGTATAAAATTTTGCCAGTTAACCATATGATTTTTTCACCTGACTCTTGATTTTGAGCGCATTGTACGAAATTCTCCTTTAAATATTTCTTGGCAAATAAGGGCATTTTAAAAAAAAAAATATCCGTATTTTTATATGAAGAATAATTTTTCCACACATTCCACGCACGGCAGAATGTTAACTATTTAGTTTACATTCTGCCGTTTCAAAAAGACTCTTTCAAAAATTAAACTCGAAAGTCGGTGAAAAAGCATCTCTACATTATTATGCTAATTCCATCTTAGAAGAATTAACTCTATCTTTGAAATTAAATGCGGTTTTAGAAACTCTATAATGAACAAAAACAGCAGCATAATCTCTCAAAAATTAAAATTTTACGGGCATCAAAACTAGGCATTCAAGTTACAGATACAAATTTAATCACCATATCTTACATAGATAAATTATATCACTTAACCCTTTGCACTCCGTGTTACCGAGTAAAAAACGGACACATACAATAAAACTTTACAAGACAAATTTATATAGTTTGCACTTTTACCATATACATAACTTCAAAATATAGTGGTCACTGTTGAGACTTCCTGTTAACAGATGGCGTTAACTCCCTGGTGAGAAGCTTTTAAAGAATAAGTTTTAAAGAATAAAGGTTTGAGAGCGTTTTTCGTTCATAACACGTGATACTTGTCATCAATAAAATATTGATAATCAAGTGTGTTGTATTCATAGTATAATTATTTTAGAGTTTCTTCTTGTAACACGAAATATTATAAACAAAACACGTTCTCAAAACAAGAGTGAAATTTTTTCTTTAAAAGCTTCTCAACAGGGAGCTAACGCCATCTATTAACATGAAGACTCAACAGTCACTAAACATGGCGATGTAAAAACTTTAACATTTAGAGTAGTTGGTAATTTAAAAGTGATTGTGCCTTAGAGGCACTCTTGGGGTAATAAGAGTTAAAAACGCATTTCGTTCTAAAAAAAAAAAAAAAAGTGTAAACAGTGATCGAAACCAGCTTCGTATTGAAAATTATGAAAGTGGACAGGAAAGATTTGTTGTTGTTGTTAATTTACGTCGCACTAGAGCTGCACAATGGGCTATTGGCGACGGTCTGGGAAACATCCCGGAGGATGATCCGAAGACATGCCATCACAATTTTGATCCTCTGCGGAGGGGATGGTACCCCCGCTTTGGTAGCCCGACGACCTGCGCGCGAAGTCGAGCACTTTACGGTAGCACAGTTTAACGAGAACCAATACCACACACCCTCGGTCCCTACGCAGACTGATCCAAGTGGTCACCCACCCGCACACTGACCGCAGCCAGCGATGCTTGACTTCGGTGAACCGTGTCTTAAGGATCAGTCCACTGCGGGACGGACAGGAAAGAATCGCATTCGCTTATTTTATGAACAAAATTTCTTTGTTAACAAAACGGCTTTTTAATTTGCACAATTTGTATAAAGAGCAGAATCTGCGACCTGTTATATTTATAAAATAATGTTATAGCTGAAACTTAAATATTTTGCTATCAACCTAAATTTATCATCTTTTTTTCTTCTTTCTGGAGTTTGTGACTCCTTATAATTGGAGAGCTTGGAGCAGCGAAATGTTAAGTGACAATCTGAAAACACATTTTCAGAGTTTTAAAATAAGTTTCTGAATGTTTAATTAAGGTGATTTTCCATGTGAATGAAGTTTTGAAACTAGCATCCTAAAGTAATATTCAATGGAAAAAAAATTAAAATCGGTCGTAAAAATATTGTTTATGACTATTTTAAAAAACTTTTATTAGCTTAACTTTATTTCTAACATATGTAATTTTTGTAGGTACGCGAAGATAGCCCCCGAGAATGCGGAAAATCAAAAATTCAAACTGCATTTGTTTGACCACAAATAACCACTTTTTAAATTTTTTTGACCACCCTTATTTTGGACATAATTCTGAAAATTTAAATCGGGGGCAATAGTATTCTCATTTTTGCGAAAAATAAATCAAAATCCAATTTTTATATTGTATTTGTTTGACCACAAATGACCATCATCTTTTAGTTTTTTTGACCACCCCTTATTATAGCCGTAATCTTAAAAGTAAGACTTGGGAGAAGTGTCTGGTTAGCCCCCGAACAAAAGAAAAATAAAATTCTTAAACAGCATTCGTTTGACCCCACAACTGACCACTTTTTTTAAAATTATTTTTTTTACAACCCTTATTTTAGCCGTGATAACAAAATTATTTCTATTAATATAATTTATTATTATATTATACCACAAATATTTTTCTGATTGTCGCCAGTATATTATAATTTCCAAGAGGCTTGAAATGGAAAGTAAGTAACCATATATATGAAACAATGATACTTAAATGTTCAAACGAAACAAACTCCTATTAAAGAAATTTTACTTATATTAATCACAATTTACTACTATAGCTTTAAGGCCAAATAGGAACTCTGATATCTGAATAAGTTAAAGTTCAATCTTTAACCGATTCAGCGTAGCACAATCTTATAAGTATTTGATTTGAGTGCCATAGTTTATACAAAGAAAATGAGCCGCGATGGCTCTGAGAATAGAGCGCACCAATGAGGTGAATCGAGTTCGAATCCCAGCGATGGCTGGCCAATACGAATTCCGCATCTGGCTTGCATCGACCACAGTACTGACATGAAATATCCTCAGAGGTAGACGGACCGTGGGTTAGAGTTCCCTTGCCGATAGGCAAAGCGTGGGAGGTTTACTGCATGTAACGCAAATGCGAGTTAGTTCCATCAAAACGGCCTTCACAAAGTCAACTTTCTCCCAATACTTGATCCAGGAATTCCTTTGTCTTCTGGATTGGGTTCAAAATTACAAGGCTACGGAGTTGAACATTAGTAGTTGCAAACCCAAAAATTGGGTCGGCTATTCAACGACGGTTATAAAATAAAAATAAATACATTAGAATATACGCATAGGGGAAGAAGGCTAGCTTCCGTAGACATAATGTAAATCAGTCCCCCAAGGTTTGGTGCGGTTCCTTTGTATAAAGGAAAAAAAAACAACATCTAGGGACACAGCAGCAGAGGTGCAGAACAAACCTCTGCTGTGCAGCAGAGTTTTGTTTTGCACTTTTATCCTATTGAAAAACAGTTAACTATTGCTTAAGAAATTTTTTGTGAATACATTTATATCATCCATGTTGACTAGACCTGCTAACACATTTCGACATAGAAATAAAAGATAAAATGGTGGTTGATAGAAGACAGCGTACCCAAGATCAAAAGCCTTTTCACGAGTGACAATCAGTACATGTAATGTTCTGCTAAATCTGAGTATGTTGCTCACCCTGTAAGTTGTTTTTCTGATATAGCATGCAGCACAGAACAGTTCCTCACGTTAGTTACATACTCGAAGAGCTATACATCTTCTTTCTTTATACTTTGGTTTGTCCAACAGTGATTTAGTTTCATGTTCCTAAAGTGTATCTAAGTAGTTAAGCCGGTTATGGTATACGGATGAGAATTAGTGAGTTTTTGATTGAAGAGGAACAAAATTTCATCCGTACGCTTAACAGTGTATCAACAGGGTATGGCAAAATAACCGAATTTAAAATTTGTATTCTTTTCTCTTGTTTTCAATATTAATTTTTACAATCTAAAGTATCTATTATAGTAAAAACTAATGCGTAATCGCCATATATTTTGTGAGATAATTAGCTTTTGAAAACTGTGATGGTTATACGTAAGAGTTTTGACAAATTATTATTTTTTATAAGCAAAATAAATTAATTAATTAATTTAATTTATCAATAAAACATTAGTTTTCGTACACAAAGCTATTTTCTGCAGAAACCTTTGCTAACGAACTAAAAAAGATGCGATGTTTTTATGTTTAAAGAGATGAATGAAACCTTCAATAATACTGGGAAACATTTTTTTTTCTTCTGTTGCATGAGATTTTTCAACGGTTCTTAAATATTTTCACACTGCTGATTTCAAATCTGCAATCTGTTTCTCTCTACAAGCTACAGTTTTTGTGCATATTTAAAATTCAATCCAGAGAATACTAGGGAGTGTCCCCACTTCTCTGCTACATAGGGACTGGTAGAAAGAAGTCGGTAACGCATTTCCGTTCATGATGTTCGATACGTTAAGAACATTTTTTTTTTTGTTCAAAGTGTTATTTTACTGACGGTTCTGCACGTAAAAAGTCGCATTTTAACCTGCAGTCTTCTCTGCATAGCAAAACCGGTTTTCCCATGTTAACTGATAGGGGAACTGTGTGTAGGGGAGAAACATTCTCCCAATTTTGCCCATTTCCTTAACCGCCAGTGGGTTAAAGCAGTGACGAGTTCTTATGTGCGCATATATACTTATAAGTTCTTTATAAATTTGTATATTCAGGCAAAAAATAAACTAAATTAAAATTACCATTTAAAAAAAGTGCCTGAAGTTTCCGAATAAAACTTATTTTAGATATGAAATCCTCACTCCAAATTTGAAATCCGCACACTAGATTTAAACCCCCTGCCGGTCTTTAGCCAGCCCCTTCTATAAAAATTTGCAAAAATTAAGAATTATTCATCGGTTTTGATCATTTTCATTTAAATGGGGAAATCTCGCCAAATTGGCGCTTTTTTTTTAAAAAAAAAAAGGTTTACAAATTTTAAAAATATTTAAGTTATTTCTCCGTTCTAAAGCCCAGAGAATACATCACGGCAAGATGATATACGCACTTTAAAATTAAAGATTTACTTTAAATGTAAGAAATTAAAACCGTGGCTATTTCCTTTTCTTTTAGGAAAGAACTTTGAAGGAAAAAAAAATCAGTTTTAACGTGATTCTGATACTGAGTATGAAAGCGAGATCGCCAAATGTGATAATTTATTCTACTGCTGTTCTCTTTCATGAACTTTCTAAATGATTTTGCAGGTCCTTGCTGTAATTTTGTTTTGATATCGGATTCTATCTTAACCTATCCATAACATTGAAAAATTTCTTATAACAGCATTTCGCAAGTTGAGGAAAATGTCAAAAATTTATTCAACTGGAACCAATCGGACTCTTAACTCTATTTATTTTCTTTCTCAAGAGTTAATAATATTAAGTTCCTGTTGATTGTATTGTTTTTCTTTTGAACTTTTCTGACAAATTTACTAATCTTTTCTTTAAATCTCAAACGTTTGCGAACAAGTTGGCAACAATATCGTACAACCGTGACGAACGCATCTTTCTGAATAGTATCAAAATGGAGTTTTAATCATTAAGAGCATGCCGAAATAATATCTTCACGTAACATGGGTAAGTACCTTACTGATATCACCTTACTGATGTAAAAGCTAGAAATATGTAATTCACTTCCTCTCCTCATTTTGGTAGATCCGAATTTTGTATGGGTAAAAATTGCATTATTTCTAAGAGCTTCAAGCATGATCTTTCAAAATTTGCCATGCAAAATCTTCCAAAACACTCATTGGTTCTTTACAAAGTGTTAGTATAAAAAAAATTCGAATTTTTTTTTTAATACTTTCTTATAAAATCTATTGATCCGAAGTTAACTCTAATAAAAAATAATTTTTAATAAATGTTAATTATTTGCCATGTAAAATCTTCCAAAACACTTGTTGATTGCTTACAAAGAATTAGTATAGAAATATTCGTATTTGTTGACCATCAAAATGTGAATCGTTGCCGTTATCTGTCAATTATTTTAGTCGAAGTCTGGGACCCTTTATGTTAGTCTCTTTTTTAAGCATATTTTTACCATGACTCATGAATATTATTATTTTTTTTAAAAAAATCGAATTTTTTTTCTTTTTACTCTTTGAATTTCATAAATTCATTGATCCGAAGTTAACTCTAATAAAAAATAACTTTTAACAATTATTAATTATTTATTATCATATATTTTTTAAATAGTTGAAATAATATTGAATCGCAAAGTACACATCATTTTAAAATATGTACTTTTAAACGAATATATCCTCTTCTGACAAGAGATGCGACGTTGACCTGAAAATTAAAAAAGTGGTGGAAACGTAATTCATTTTAAATTTATTTCATCTATTTAACCTGGAGTNTCTAAAGCTTTTTTTTTTTGTAAATTTTTTCATGAAATAAATTCATTGATCCCAAGTGAACTCTAATAAAAAATAATTTTTAATAATTGTTCATTATTTGCCATTTAAAATCTTCCATAACACTAATTGATTGTTTACAAAGAGCTTTTGTTCACCATCAAAATGTGAATCGTTGCCACTACCTGTGAATTATTTTAATCGAAGTCTGTGACCCTTAATATTAATCTCTTTTTTCTAAGCATATTTTTACCATAACTCATAAATATTTCTAAAAAATTCGAAATTTTTTTTAATACTTTCTTATAAAATCTATTGATCCGAAGTTAACTCTAATAAAAAATAATTTTTAATAATTGTTAATTATTTGCCATGTAAAATCTTCCAAAGCACTTGTTCATTGTTTACAGAGTCAGTATAAAAATGTTCGCACTTGTTCACCATCAATATGTGTATCGTTGCCGTTATCTGTCAATTATTTTAGTCGAAGTCTGGGATCCTTAATGTTAATCTCTTTTCTAAGCATATTTTTACCATGATTTATAAATATTTTTTTAAAAAATCTAAAGTTTTTTTTGTACACTTTCTTATAAAATTCATTGATTCGAAGTTAACTCTAATAAAAAATAATTTTTAATAATTGTTAATTATTTGCCATGTAAAATCTTCCAAAGCACTTGTTCATTGTTTACAGAGTCAGTATAAAAATGTTCGCACTTGTTCACCATCAAAATGTGAATCGTTGCCGTTATCTGTCAATTATTTTAGTCGAAGTCTGGGACCCTTTATGTTAATATCTTTTCTAAGCATATTTTTACCATGATTCAGAAATATTTTTTTAAAAAAAGGAAACGAAATTTTTTTGTAGACTTTCTTATGAAATTCATTGATCCGAAGTTAACTCTAATAAAAAATAATTTTTAACAATTGTTAATTATTTGCCAAGTAAAATATTCCAAAACACTTGTTGATTGCTTACAAAGAGTTAGTATAGAAATGCTCGCATTTGTCAAAATGTTCTATCATCAAAATGTTAATCGTTGCCGTTATCTGTAAATTAGTTTAGACCATGACTCAGAAATATTTTTAAAAAAAATCTAAAGCTTTTTTTTTTTGTAAATTTTTTCATGAAATAAATTCATTGATCCCAAGTGAACTCTAATAAAAAATAATTTTTAATAATTGTTCATTATTTGCCATTTAAAATCTTCCATAACACTAATTGATTGTTTACAAAGAGCTTTTGTTCACCATCAAAATGTGAATCGTTGCCACTACCTGTGAATTATTTTAATCGAAGTCTGTGACCCTTAATATTAATCTCTTTTTTCTAAGCATATTTTTACCATAACTCATAAATATTTCTAAAAAATTCGAAATTTTTTTTAATACTTTCTTATAAAATCTATTGATCCGAAGTTAACTCTAATAAAAAATAATTTTTAATAATTGTTAATTATTTGCCATGCAAAATCTTCCAAAACACTGATCTGAAATTTACTCTAATAAAAAATTCATTGATCCAAAATTAACTCTAATAAAAAATAATTTTTAATAAATTTTAGTTATTTGCCATGTAAAATCTTCCAAAACACTTGTTGATTGCTTACAAAGAATTAGTATAGAAATGTTCGCATTTGTTCACCATCAAAATGTGAATCGTTGCCGCTATCTGTCAATTATTTTAGTCGAAGTCTGGGACCCTTTATCTTGATCTCTTTCTTAAGCATATTTTTACCATGACTCATAAATATTTTTTTGAAAAAAAATCGACTTTTTTTTTCTTTTTACACTTTGAATTTTATAAATTCATTGATAGGAAGTTAACTCTAATAAAAAAATAACTTTTAATAATTGTTAATTATTTATTATCATACAATTTTTAAATAGTTGAAGTAATTTTGAATCGCAAAGTACACATCATTTTAAAATATGTCCTTTTAAATGACAGAATCTTATCCTCTTTTGACAAGGGGTACGACGTTGGCCTGAAAATTTAAAAAGTGGTGGAAACTTAATACATTTTAATTTCATTTTATCTATTTAACCTGTTAGCACCAGCGTCATATTTGTAGGACAGTTTCTCTTTTCAAAAACATATATTGTGGTGGGACAATTGTTTCAATTTTGTCTCTTATCTAGGAGAATTAAAAGTTTCCCTTTCACCATAATTTATTAGTGATTTAAGTTTCTATCACTAGATGTATAACTATAAGGTGCAGGGACATTTCGAACAGAAATGGTAACAAATAGTTGATATTAGCCATTTAGTTGATATTAGCCACACATACCACTTTTTTCATAAAGTCACTTATTGCACCATTTCAATTAAAAAAAGTCGCGATAAAACGGGTTAATTATTCAACTGAACTATAACTTACTGCATAACCCTTCAACATTTGCGGTTAGTGCGAGATGCATTTATCACTGGCAGCAAACTTAGCTGAAATTTTGAAAACAAATAGAATTCTTTTAAGACCTTGAGAAGAGCTTCGGAGCATGACCATTTCGAACGAATAAGCATCCTTTCTCCTTTAACTTTGCTCAATAATAGAAAGCTTATTTTTTTCTATTAATACATATTTTTAATACCAATTAAGCATCATTGTCGTCAATAATAGAATGGCAATTTTTTTGTGGTTCCTCTGAACAAATAAACACTTTTACTCCGTTCATTTTGCCTTTTAGTACACAGTTTTATGATATTTTTGTTTTCAATATGCGCATATTTCCTAAATTAATTATGAAGCATTGACGTCATTCTTGTATTCTTGACATTTCCCTAAGCGAATTAATGTCACTTTTCCATTAATTTTGCCTTTGAATACATAACTATTTTTTTTCCCATTACAATTACCAATGATTTTAAATTACTTTTATACAAAGGCATTTTAAAAGAATTATCATGAACAAAATAAACACGTGGTATTAGATAATCTTAGAAATATCAATTTGGTCACGTAATCCATGAATGCTACTTTTTTTTTTTTTGCTTTGTTAATGTCGTTTTTTTTTATCTGACAGACAACATTTTTTTAATTTTTATTTTATTTCCAATGAGCTGCATTATCGGTCGTGCCGATGAGCAGACCTAGTGCGTTCTCCGGAGCTGATATCCACTCTTTCAGGACCACCACAATGGGTGAGATACCGTTGGTCATGTTAAGTCATGTTAATTTGGACATCTAGTTTCTGCCACACTAGATGGCAGCACCGAGACTCCATTCGGATGCTAAAGTGCACTAGGAATTTAATTTTGCCGGAAATGCCAAGAGCCATTAAGGCACTCCAGCGATCTTTTACATGCCGCATAATCATACGACATGGCCGCTGAGGATTTTCTGCATACCGAAAATCCGGTGTCTGGGCCGGGGATCGAACCCGCTGACTTGGGCTCAGAAGGCCGACGACAAACCAACTGCGCCACCCAGCCAACATTTATCACGTGAAAATATTTATGTATTTTTCTATTACACAGGGATGCCGCAGGTGACATAAAAAGTGAAAAGTGGTAGAAACTCTATTTACTTTTATTTATTTATCATCTTTTTAATTGCTCAATCATATCTACCACTATGACTTACATTTCAAATTATTTATATAAAATATAAATTATTTGAAATAAATTATTTACATAAATTTTTAATAGTAAACTAAAAAATATGATATAAAAAGTTACAAATTTAATTTGTTTTAATGAAATATAGAATTATATAAGTCAGCACTTTTTGCAATATTAGCTTATTAAAACTATAACTAATTGGCCGTTTTTAATTTTTTTTATTTATTTACTCCTAAAGCTGTAACAGCACTTTCACTTATCCGGTAAAAAAGAAATAACTGGCAGTAATATTATTTCGCTTCGCTTACGTTTAAGATAAGAAAAATTTCCACCACTAATTAGATACTCAATGCTACCAATTACTACGCTTTTTGAAAAATATTTTGTAGAGTGGTAATGGCTCATTATTATATAATGTTTATGTTATATATGTGAAGTTATTCACGTTGTTCATGTTATTCATATAACTTCTTATATGCTACTAATCAATTTAAAAACAAATGTAAATAAATTTTTTAATATGGAAAATTTTATTTATCAAATTCTACATGTATCTGAAATAAGATTACTTACTAGAATAAATTATTATTTGTTACCTAAATTTAAAATTAATTTGATTAGTTCATATAATAGATAAATATGCAAATTTTGTTGGTGATGTATGCCAGGTATAACAACTAATTTCATACAATACCATTTTATAAGAACACATATGAGATAAGAAAACTAAAAACAATATATTTATTTCAGTATTATAAAATTTATTTTGTTATAGTTACTTTCCCTATATGATACAATATTTATAATAGTTTTCCTATATGATCAACTTTCGAAGGGGCTTAGGTAAGCTTTATAACTATTTTAGAAATTATGTATAATTTTAACGCGTCGATGAAATTTTCCTAAAATATTCATGAGTAATAAGTAAAATATTCATCAATTCATGAGTGTTATTAAATTACATTTAATAACACTTGAAGACAAATTTGACTTATTTCAGCAGTTAACAAACCAGATCTTTTATTATGCAGGATACATTTAGTTCTTCATAATAAAGGTCAATTTACAAAGATGATTAACTTAAAAGGTTTAAATGCATTATTAAATATGTTAACAAAATATGCTTAGGCTATAAACGCAAATTATGTGTAAAATCAAAGTTTTAAATTTCTCTCGTCGTGCGCTAAAATTAATATCCGTCGTAACTAAAATTAATCTCTTATGAGTTTATGACTTATTCAAATCATAGGAGAAAGATCGACTTTAGTTACGCTTATTTTATATTTTTATAAATAGGGGGTTCTATGACAACCGTTATTACGATTAATTTATGATGGTCTTGTTATTGGAGGAAAAAAAATACGAGGAAAGAAATTAAGCGAATCAGTTAAGAAATGTAAACGGGAATAATAAGCGAATCACTCTGTTGTTATTACAGATCATCATCTAATTTTTTTAAATGAATGTATCGCGTAATTCAACAACCGCAAGTATGAATTGCTACTAGGCAATCATTACTTAATTTTTATGTTTTTTTTAAATGAATAGCGCATTGCAATAACAACCGTATTATAAATAATTGCGTACTTGCAACTCAAGAAGAAGTGAAGTGATTATATCTAACCATGTAATTTGAATCAGATTTAATTGAATACCTTTAAGCGATGTCACGTGTTCGTGTCGAACCTGATTGGCTACTGGATTGAAAAATGCCTCGATTTATTAACAATGACGTTACTTGCAGGTATCCAATTCTCATTATACATGATTATGCTTAACCACGCGATTTAAATCAGATTTAATTGAATACCTTTAAGCGATTTCACGCGTTCGTGTTGAACCTGATTGGCTCCTGGATTGAAAAATGCCACGATCTACTGACAAGGACGTTACTTGCAGGTATCTAATTCTTATTATAGATGTTTATGCTTAACCATGCGATTTAAATCAGATTTAATTAAATACCTTGAAGCGATTTCATGCGTTCGTGTCGAACCTGGATTGAAAATTGCCACGAGTTACTAACAATGACGTCACTTGCAGGTATTCAATTCTTGATATTAAGTAGGGAGCAGAACGAGGGAAGGAAAAGAAGCGAATCGATGAAAGAATTAATTCACGGATCAGTTTGCAAATATATAAAAATTTTGATTAACTTATAATTTGTGGTACAACACAAATTTTTAATGTATTTAAAATATCTGTCTTCTTATTATTTATTTATGTTTGTTTTCAGGATACCATAGCTAACTACCATGGCTTACAAACTGTGGAAAGCAGCACTTCTGGTTATTCTCATCAACGAAGCACTTTCGGAAGAATCTTTTTGTGACAATAAATGTTTCGGAGAAGGGGTAGTAACTTCACGCTCTTGTTACTGTGACAAAGCCTGCACCATTTACAAAGATTGCTGCTCGGACTCAAAGCATTTTGATCCCAGTAAAGATTCAGACTCCAGCTCTTCATCTGTAGTGTGCAAGAGAAATACTCTAGTGGTCAACAGCTGCCTGCCTGAATGGAAAGGTCCAGATTTCATCATCAAATCATGCCAGGAATCTCACAATGAAGTTGACCCAGTGGGAAATTCCCCGGTTACCAGCGAGACTACTGGAATATCCTACAGCAACTACTACTGCGCCATTTGCAACGGAGATTCTGAAGAAGCCATTGTATGGACAATCAAAGTATCTTGTCCTCTTTTAAACCCCAGCATAGACTTGGATAAAGAAGAAGCATTCAAATATATATTTTATAACATACCAACGAAAGAATGGGGGTATGTGTCGCGGGAAAATTCGACGCAAAAACTATCATTCCACGCATGCGCAGTTATTTCTGAAGTACCTGAGAAATTTTCTTCAAAAGTGAGGAAATGTTCGAGCGATGAAGTTCGAAGTTGCTCTCCAAACTGGAAAATAAATCTCGTAGAGCGCATGTGTGATGCTTACAGTGATCCAGTTTTCCATAATGTTACCAAATACAAGAATTTATACTGTGCCATTTGCAATAACGTTGATCAGTCCCTTCTCAATTGCGGAGATGGAATTGGCCCAAGAATGAAAGAGGTGCCAGAATCGGAAGAGAAAAATAATCTAAGTTTTTCTTTGCTTTTAGACATTAATTTTTCGGAAGGTAATATTGTAGGTAGGAGACTTTCAGTTATGAATTGTTTACCAGGAGAAATATTTGATCCTTTTGCTAGGAGGTGTCGAAATATTGTGTGCGCTATTCCTGGTTATATACTGCAGAATGGATTATGTATTGCTGGTAGTGCATCGCCAATTTAAATAAGTGTATTGTAAATATTGTGCTTTTAACTCTCCAATTTTATTATTATGTTACCAAATACAAAACTGTGCTATTTGTAACTGTGCATCTCCTATTTAAAACAGTGTATAATAAATGTTGTACTATCTACGATCCAATTTCGTAATGTTACAAGACCTTACTATTTAATTGTTTTGTAAAACAATGATGAATTAGGATTGATAAAAGAATGAGCAGCCTTAAAAGTCGTTAAAAAAATCATTTGATTCATAAAATAGTTGGTTATTATAACTTTAAGTAAGTACAGTTTGCTAATATGTTAATCGTGGACTGATCCTTAAGCCACGGTTCACCGAATTTAAGCATCACTAATTGCGGTCAGTGTGCGGGTGGGTGATCACTCGGATCAGTCCGCGTAGGGACCGAGGGTGTGTGGTATTGGTCCTCGTTAAACTGTTCTACCGTAAAGTGCTCGACTTCGGGTGCAGGTCGTCGGGCTACCGAAGCGGGGGTGCCATCCCCTCTGCGGAGGATCAAAATTGTGATGGCATGTCTTCGGATCATCCCCAGGGATGTTTCCCAGACCGTCGCCAATAGCCCATTGTGCAGCTCTAGTGCGACGTAAATGAACAAATCAAATCAAATTGATCGAAAAGACGAGAAAGGATACCTGGATTTTAAAAGTAATCAACTATACTTAGAAAAAAAATTACACTTAGAAACTTTTTAATTCTAATTTCCGTTATTCATTTATTAAATTTATTCATTTTTGTATTATTCTCATTCATTTTTTTAATCATATTTATTCATTTTTTAATTACTTTTGACTTTAACTCAAGCACGAACCTATAAAATGTAGATTGTGAGAGAGTTTAGTTTTTCCACAACAATAGACAAATAATTATTATTTAAAGCAAAAAAATTTTGGAAAACTCCTGAGAAAGGCACTTAAAATTTCAATAATTGTCAACTAAAATTGATGACAGTGGTAGCCCAGTAGTTAGAGAATCGGAGTCTGGTCCTGTGAGTCAGGGGCAACGTTACTTTTAAAAAGTAACGAGCAAAAGTACAAGTATTTTCAAAAAAAGTAACGAGTAAAAAGTTCTTATTTTAAAAAGTAACGAGTAAAAAGTACAAGTAAAAGTACAAGTACTGAACAAAAAACGTAACGATTTAAAAGTACATTTCTAGGAAATCGAAAATTCAAAGTAACCTAAAATTTTATTGAATAATATTCTTATGTTCTTTAATGTTTTTGCAAAATTGTTGTTATTTATTTAATTATTTTTAATTTTGAAAGTTATGGACATTAATTTATTTTTAAATTCGGAAGAATATTATAATATAATTTTATAATATAATCGTATAATATAATTTTAAAATCAAATATAATTTTAATATCAAACTTTTTATGGATTTGCACGAAAAAGAAATTTTATCTATTGATTTTAATTTTTAGTTTATTATTTTTATTTATTTAAATTACCATTGATTTAAAATTGTTTTACTCTTTAGAAACGCGTTTTAAAAGCACAAACATAAACAAAGCAAACACGGGGTTTCAGATAGCTTTGTGATCTTTGAGCTAGTAAAAAATAATTGAATGTGCAGTATAAGTTGAAACAGAAGGTATTTAAACACGAAGTTAGCTGTGAATGCATATATATTGCACATTAATTTTATAAATTAAAAAAAACATAAGCATTTATTTTTAAATTAAATTTTTTTTTTTTTTCAGAAAGCTTACCGAGTTTTAAAAAAAAGTAACGATTTCATTCGATATTTCCTTTACAAATACTTGTACTTTTTCTCTAAAAAAGTAACGAAAGTACAAGTAAAAGTACTAAATTTAAAAAGTAACGAAGTACAAGTAAAAGTACGTACTTTTTACTTGCACCGGCGGTACAAGGAACGAAAGTAAAAATACTGCCATATATGGTCAGGGGTTCGATCCTCGACTCCACCAAGACCCACCGAATACATGTGATATATGTGCTAAAAATCAGTAAAATCGAAAGTCCCGTGGTCGGTAGCTGAGTAGAACTGGTACAGGCACCCGGGTACAGGTACAGGCACCCGGAGAAAATTTCCTTCCCTTTCAGATGTACGTCTAAATTGAGGAAGTGGCCTCACAAAATTGTGATGGCATATCTTCGGATCATCCTCAGGGATGTTTAATAGACCGTCGCGCAATAGCCCATTGCGCAGCTCTAGTGGGGCGTAAATAAAGTACCTACCTACAAACATATTTGAATTTCGATTAAAACTCTTTTTTTATTTCATAAATAAAAGTGATCTTTCAACACGTGGAATTTCACCGTTTTAATTGCATTTCCATGGACTGCTTTCACACGATATTTTTTTATTTCAAAATTAACAGTTAATTCTCCATGAATTAACTGTAGAATGTTAATTTCTTTTAATCAATTTGTTGCAAATTTTGCTACACGCCTTGGTAATATTAAGTTTCGATGTCTTACAGTTTTTAACAACTAAATGTCCCGCAGTGGACTGATCGTTAAGACACGGTTCCCAGCAGATCACCGAAGTCAAGCATCACTGGCTGCGGTCAGTGTGCGGGTGGGTGACCACTTGGATCAGTCTGCGTAGGGACCGAGGGTGTGCGGTATTGGTCCTCGTTAAACTGTTCTACCGTAAAGTGCTCGACTTCGCGTGCAGGCCGTCGGGCTACCGAAGCGGGGGTGCCATCCCCTCTGCGGAGGATCAAAATTGTGATGGCATGTCTTCGGATCATCCTCAGGGATGTTTCCCAGACCGTCGCCAATAGCCCATTGTGCAGCTTTAGTGCGACGTAAATGAACAAAACAAGCAAACAAATTAACAACTAAATATTGTATCATAAAGCAAAACATTTGAAAACTTTTTCGAAAAAGTACTTACAGTTGTCCTAATTTCTGAACAAATTGTAATTTCTGTTAAGTTCACAAACAAATAAGGTTCTATCAGCATGTCAAACTTCAGATTTGTAGTTGCATTCCCACGACCTGCAGGTTTGCCCGCACGGTGTTTTTTTTAATTTTTATTTTGCTACAAGTTTACCAATAATTCTGGCTCTAATTATTCGATGTTACATTTTTTTATTTTACGCTTCTCTTTTTAAATGTTTATACATACTTTCCGATTTTCAATTTTCTAAATCTTATAGTTTCAACGTAGTAAAATAAATTGTAAAATTAAGCTGAACATCCAAAAAAGTGTCTGTGGCTTTTACTCGTTGTCCCGCCTCTTTCTGAGCTGCTCAATTCTGATTGGACGTCGTCCGTTGTCCTCGATTTCTTTGCGGATATCTTCCGTACGGTGTTTCAGATCAAGTCCCCGCACTAGAAACTTAATATTTCTCGGGGGAATGCTGGGAGAGTTCGGTGGATAAGGCTCCGTCGGAGTTGGATCTGCAGGGATGATCGCTGGTGTGGAAATGAGACTGGTAGGGGAAGGCTCCTTGGGATCGCTGGCTTTTCGAGTCTTTTTCTTCCTTAGTCGTTTTTTGGGGGGACTCTTGGGCTCATGCTCTTCGATTACACATGTCTCAGTAGAGGATTCAGCAGGGTGAGATTCCACTGTTGGGTCTGAGGTGTCGGCTGATTCTTTTGGATCCTCTGTCGTTTCGGGAATGATAGGCGTTTCTGTAACCATTGGCATTGGTGGTTCTATAGGTTCCTCTGGAATCGGCTCTTTCCTCTGATATTTCTCTGGGAAAGGGTACTTTGTCCCATCGTCCGGACATTCATCATGAATTTCCTTAAGGGTGGAGAGGACAAATTCATCTTTAGGATCAGTCGGTAAATTGGCCATGGCTTTGTACAGCTGGCGGAACTGCATGTAGGTACCTGATTTGTTGTCGATGGCGTAGTTGTATCGGACATAATATTCCAAGGTTCCATCAGAAATATTATTATTCCTGGCATTTTCTGCATCGTAGTTGGGAGGAGGTGGGGGCGCGGACCTTACGGTCCGTCGCTTCCCGCCTCTGGCACAATGATGCATAGACATAATAGCAGAGCTCGGTCACAACACAACCTAACTCAAGCAAGGTCGGTGAGCGAATGGTGTGACACAAATATGTGACAGCATGAAATCGTATCAATCAGGGTAAAAATATAAAACTGGTAATCAAAGTATTTCTTTAGCCGTTTATTTGTGGGCGGAGTTATAATTGTTTGATTTATTTAATTCACCAATACTTTGTTCAAAATAAAACTATGTAGTTATACTTTGAATTAACATTGATTATATATATGATTAAACTAACAATAATTAAAGTAAAAGCAAAGTAAGTCTGTCAAATTAGCAACGATTACATTTAAGTTACCGTTTTTTATTTAATTACAACTTGATTCTGATTTTGTACGAATGCTTTTCAGAATCACCCGTCCCCAAGGGGTTAGCACGTTCACGCCGGGTGTTGCGCCTGAAAGCGGGACGGAAAAGACAAAATACTGGTAGAAGAGCTATTTCAATATTAGATAATATTCGGGAGGAGTTAATCTAATCTATTCTCAACTATAACAATTCACTGTATGGAAGTTTATCACTATGCCTATGCCTATGTCAGATAGTTATCTAAGTATCGGCCCTGTGAAGGGCCCCAACTCATTCATCTCAATGGGAAGTGAAATAAAAGTGCCGAAGCATCTGAGGCAGAAAAGATGGGTGGGGTCCAAATTCGTTGTTAGGCTTGGTTGGAATGGTAGAATCATCATTGGGCTGGGGTGTTCCCCTGGATCAGTGTTTGAAGAAGGTTGAGAGTCTCTTTGTCCTTAAGAAGATCTTGCAGCTCTTTAACTAGAGAAACTAGTCGGTGAGCTGAAGTAGTCTTAGATGTGGTCTTTTTTCTTGAATGATTTTTTCTACAGGGGCGGGCCTCGCACCCTGAGAAATTGGAGGTGTGTGATTTCTGGCAGTTGCAGCATGTAGCTGGAGTGTCCTTAGGCTTAGTGCACTGATAGGAGTAGTGCCCCTTGGCACACTTCATGCACCTGGGTGGATCAGTGCAGGAGCTCTGGGAGTGTCCGTAATTCTGGCAGCGAAAACACTGAAGTGGCCTACGGCCACCGTGAAAACGCTCAATGCTGACCGGATAATTCTTAATCATTTCAGTGTAGAAGATCTTTTCATGATTCGGCAGCTTGGGG